ATTAAGTCAAAATGAGTTGAAGTTTGTATCGTGATGCTTGTAAACATACACTCATTCATTTACAACCTCCAAAACATGAATTTTGTGCGAAATTAAACATTCTCGCCAATGGCCAACATATTTTTCGCCCATTGGCGAGATTTTTTAATATCGCCCTATGTGAGTCGAATTAAATCAAAATGAGTTGAAATATGTTTCATGATACCCATAGGTATACACTCATTAATTTACAACATCCAAAACATGGAAAAACATGTATTTTGAGTAAAAGTCAATATTCTCACCCATGGGCCAACATATTTTTCGCCCATGGGCGAGATTTTTTTATATCGTTCTAAGTTAGTCGAATTAAGTCAAAATGAGTTGAAATTTGTGACACGATGCTTATAAACATACACTCATTCATTTACAGGCCCATGGGCGAGTGAGTTTAAATTTAAAGTTTTCGAAAAAAAAAATTCATCTTTTCATCCTTGGCATATATTCATAACAACTGCATGTTTAATTTAGTCAAATCCCTTGTCAGAAAGTGCCCACAGTGCGGAGAATTTCTGGACTTTTTTGAGTCCAGAATTAAATAGTGACGTGTAAGGTAATTTTCTGTACATTCTCCATTATAATCAATACCTAGTCATGCACCTGTACCAATGTTCGTGTTTGTATGTACTACCGATTGTCTGTAAAGATAAAGGTCAATAAAGAATCTGAATCTGAATCTGTGTCACCCTGGCGGCATGAGAACAGGCATTGTCATGTTGGAATGCGAGGGGACGTCGAGGATGTTGGTGAAGGCGTAGCAAAGGAGCGACTACGGGGCTTCAGAATTTCATCTACATAACGCTGTGCAGTCAGATAACCTTGGATGATAAGCAGGTCACACCTGAAACGTGCGTTGATAGCCCCCCAAACCTCCCACTGCCACCACCAAATCGATCTCCCCTGTCCGCATAAAATTCACCATGGCGTCTATAAGCACGCTGAAACACAGGGCCACGGTATGGACGCCGACAGTTCAGTCCAGTTCGTCTCAGGCGTCTTATGACTGTCGATAGGCTGATCCTCCTTCCATGGTTAACAATCGTTGCCGCTGCTGTCGTTGTTGCCGTTCTAAAGCGATCAGTCGAATCTGTCGATCTTGTCTGGCCGTTGTAACCGGAAATCGTCCAGGTCGAGGGCGGTCGGCAACCATCCATGTCATCTGGTGACGACTGACAAGACGGTTTATGGTCGACATTAACATTAAGGCGCCAAGTAAAGGCATTTTGTGAAGTGCCTGCTTCAAGGAGTCCCAGAGCGCGTTCACGTTGGCGCAGATTTGAACAGCCGTGGCATTTTGTAAACTGGCTCCTGAGCTTTCCATACCCGTTCATTGTATGGGAAAGACCTCAAGAAGTGCACGTGCATTTTCCTCTTCATGATTACTTTGCTGTATTTCAACAGATGATAAAAAATGCCTTTTCACTAATTCTCTGCTTCCAGAAACATGAAGAGGATTTGAACTCGAACAACTGATCCTACACATGTCTTAAATATTCATTGCAAACATTCAGTGCATCATTAATACTTGTCGCTTATTTCCCCAAAAAATTATCTGAAAAAAACTTTCATTGCGGATCAGTATAAAAAAATGCCAGATGTCAGTGGGCGTTCATAATAACGATAGCGACAACAGTAACTACCGCGATAATTGAGGGTCCCATGATAATAGTACAACTATTATAAGAAACTAATATGTAATTGTGACTAACCCCTACTGTTTTAGAAGCATATACATTGGTAATTCCGGGACTCGCAATAACGCACGCACAGTATTTTTCAGGCCAGCTTGCTTGTATAACGACGTTCAAAGCCAAGGACGGACACACCGCGTGTGAAAGGGATTATGAGCGCGTCGAGGAGCAGCCCAGTTTATACATAACTCCCAGTCGAAATTCGAAATACTTCTCAGGTAAAAACACAATTTGAAATCATTCTTAGTATGTATTTCCTTTGTATTACTCTGTGTATTATTGGTCTGAAATTACCATGATTGCATTTTTCACCAAATATACACATGGAAAAAATGATCGCAACTCCTATGATTTTAACTCCCATATAACCATTTGTATGCATATCATAATTAGTTTGATCATTAGATCGCACCAAACATACTATCAAAGCAAATACCAAGTTTTAGTAAACTGTTGTAACAGCTCGTTAACTACATAACCAAAACATGGCGCGTCCTGATAACTGCTCAACAATGGCAAGATATGGGTATGCAGAATACTGGCGTATCACTGAGGGCTATTGCAAGAGATGTTAATTGCATCCATCGGCTATCATCAGATCGGCACACTAATGCCGTTAAGTACCGCTGGCGTTCAGGTCGACCACGAGTGACAACCCTTAGGGGTTGCTCCCAAATCGTCGTTTACCCGACAGAACGGTCTAAAATCATCTAAAATTGGCCAGGTAGAGAGGAAGACGACCTATCAGAGTATAAAGCAACACGTGTAGCTTGGTGTCACCCACGAGGTCACTGGAATCTTAGGTCGTGGGGGAAAGTCCACTGGTCGGACGAAAGTCAATTTCTTTTGTTCCTGACTTATGGGTGAGCTCGCGTTTGGCGCCGCAAAAAAGACTGCATATGCACCATGGAATATCTTGGAGCAAGTACCGTTTGAAAGGGTTTCGTTGATTATGTGGGGATGGCTGTAAACTGGATCATGTGACGATCAGACGAAATCTGAATGGACAACAGTACATCACTGACATCCTAGACAGGGTTGTTGTACCACAGCATCCTCTGGATACTGTGACCATCCTCTGAACACATGTCAGGTCTTCATGGACGGCAATGCAAGCCCATATCGTCAACATGCCAATCGTGATTTCCTACATCAAGAGGCGGCAGAAACTCTACCATGGCACATCGGGAGTTAATCTCTTCCGACAGTCATACCTGGACTAAAATCTACTGCCTTCTGTTTATGTGCCATTGACAAAGATAATATTGTAGTATATTTGTAGAGCTATGAGCATACACATGGTGTATGGAGTTGGCGCCATATAAATGAACTCATCATCATCAACATCATCATCATCATCATAATACATTAACAGTGGTAATAGCAATTAAGTAAGTCATAATTTTATTGCTCGTCCGTGGAAGATACTCCAGTGTAATATGTTTACGGCAATATTACACTGGTGTAATACTGCTAGACGTATGACGTCGTACGGGTTTACAGTTAAGACGTCAAAACGCTAATGCCTCTGCCACAATGGTATTAGACCTTGCTTGACTCGCGGAAGGCTGAGAGTCATCACTCTTTCTCTTACCTTCATGTAAAATACTTTAATTTCATTGGTCAATGACGCTTTAACAAGTTTCCGTATCAACTCTCCAGGAAAGTGACAACTGGAAAATATATCAAACATGCTTTATTTAAACTATTTGATACATTGCATCGCTTGCACACTCAACTTTAACCATTTTTAAAACAGCTTTAAACTGTTTCACCGATTTTAAAAATCCAGTCGAGAGAAGCATGCAACGGATAGTAGGCAGATTCTATCAATTTATATTGGAGAGTATTAAACAGAATACTAAACTCGCTTTCGTTAAAAACTATTTTTATTGAACTCTTGAAAGATTCAGTATTGATACAAAATCATTAACTCGTTTAATAAAAATGGCATTACACTGAAGGTCGTGTAGTATCTCTATATATTCACCTGGCAGCAATAGTGGTCAAGCTTCCAAATTAGGTCAGTATAGATGTCGACGATAAAACGTTAAACATGATTTGTTTTCAACACAGCAAATTAAGACGCCCGTGCATTCGTGCAGTCGAATTCAGGTCACTGACGTCACTATTTGAAAGGTCAAATATTTGAGTGACAACCTTCAAGGAGAGTATACCAGACTGTCGGTTTATCGTATGGTGGTGAGTGATACATTTCATTTAAATAACGGTGATTATGTATACAGTCCAATCCCGATGAGTACTTGTGAGGACGATCAAAAGAGTATGTAATAAGAATATTGTAATTTCTCCAACATGGATGACACTTTTGTATTTCCGATATATAAAAACAGTAAAGCAACCTTGGTTAACCCTGTGATCATAGTGTTGTAACTGTTTGTTTTGGTGAGTGAGTGAGTGTGCTTTGATGCCGCTTTTAGCAATATTCCATCAGTATCACGACGGGGAACACCAGCAATGGGATTTCCATTGTAACCATGTGGGGAATCGAACACACTTTTTCACACTTTTCTCAACCACCAGGCTCCCCCACCGCCCCGGGTGTTATTGCAGTAATTGAATTACAAGAAGAATTAGGGACAATGAAACCGCAGTAGAAAAACCTCCAGAACTTGGTATGGCACTAGATGGGGTTGACATATGAATGGTTATTGAACGTTTAACAGTTACAACACCTTTGACAATTCGTCTCTGTACCAAAATACATTTAAAACTTAAAACTAGTATAACTTCTTTGAGAGGCACTTTAGACGTTGTAAAGATGAAGGAAAACCAAATTCTATAGATAGTCAACTTCTATATTGCAATGAGTGCAACGTTTCAGTGGAGGCACTAACGGTACTACGCCGAAACGTCGCACTCATTGCAATAAAGAAGTTGACTATCTATAGAATTTGGCTTTCCCTTACAATATAATAGTTTGTCATTTTGAAAAAAATATTTTCGATACACATACTAAATATGACACAAATGCCAGGTCTGCAACAGCACCACCCACCTAACCCCCCTCGCAAAATACTTCATCGACAAGCGACGTCATGACCAATGCTTTGTGTTATATCATATCCACCCACGTCAACTGACCAATCAGACGCACCGCGGTAACCGACCAATCAGGCAGTAACCGATCAACCTGCACTGATTAAGACGGGAAGTTTCATTTTCTATAGCTGCTGGCAAAAGACACTAAGTCTTAGACCCGTTAGTATCTAAAAGACTAGGTCCAATGTTTCAGTTTCCACTCTCATTATGGCAGAGAACGGTACAGCCATAGATGTTAATGGTTTCTGCCAGAATGGGTCTCTTAAACAGCAAACACCATTGGAAAACAGCGATGAAGCACCAGAAGCTAAAGGTTAGAGGAAGCACTTGGTGTATTTGTGTCTGTTATACTGTGTCTGTTATACTGTGTCTGTTATACTGTGTCTGCTTATTGGTACTAAATGTCAGTAGCAGCAACCATGTAAAATAGTTCCCCGTTACTCGATCATAAAGAAACATGTAAAATACAAATATCAATGACACCAACGCATACGACTCTTCAAAGTTTAAGTCTGGAGAGGAACGGATCAGAATATAGTGAGTGAGTGAGTTTAGTTTTATGCCGCTTTTAGCACTATTCCACTAATATCACGGCGAGGGACACCAAAAATGGGCTACATACATTGTACCCATGTGGGGAATCGAACACGGGTCTTCGGCGTGACGAGCAAACACTGTTACCACAAGGCTACCCACCGCCCCAATCAGAATAGATACCACGTGTCTTCCTGGGCAATAACAGAGCAGAATAGATTCCAAGTACCTCATGTGTGCCTCCATGTGCGAATTCCGGATTAGAATGTTCGTTTTCTCAAGATTAACTGTAATCGTGAATACAGTCAAGGGAGGGCTTCAAAGGAATTTGTCAGGTTTATCGATTATCAGAACCTTTATCAGATCTATGTAATTCCGATTTCAACTACGGTCGCCATATGGAAACTGATGTAATGGCAATATTGCGAACCTAGTCCCACGTTTCATCACAGACCGGTACCTCCGTTCACAAAGACTGCTGTTGGCATTGGTTGGCCTCATGGGAGGAGTGATGCTGGAGTTCAACAGAGCAGGTCTTAGCATGGCGATCGTGTGCATGGTCAACAACACCGACGTCAACACCGACGTCAACACCACATCACCAGTTTCAGAGGTTGGTGTTTTTGAACGTTAATGGTTGATTATCATTTAGAGTCTGTATCATATGGTTCCACACATCACCTGTCTGGTCCGGGCGTTTGGTCTGTGCTCACACTATTGGCCACTCGTGTAAAACGTTGGAAAATGAAGTTAAAGTTTCATTATTGACATACACATGGGCCAGTTGGTAACCTAGCAACAGAAGCATCAACTTCCATATGTGCGTCTTATTGTGGAGTCCCACGATACTGGATATTGCTGGTGGCGTACCCGTAGCCAACTTAAAGGCACTATTTCACACAACACTTCTCTAAAAATAAATAATGCATTTCTCCCAATAATACAAACTACCAGCCCTCAGGAAGCTACCACATAACCGCGTGCGCCAGTTGTCGATGTACGGAGCAATTGTTTACATTCCATATTTGCCAAGTGTTCTCTGTTTGGAAGCTGTTCTTCGAAGTTTTAATTATCGATTTCAGGCAGGTCGTAAGGGATAAGTATTTTTTTGCATCAATAGGAAGTTAAAGTGGGTGCATATGCCCCAATATGTATTATATAGGCCAAAATATTGTCGAAAATGTGTGAAAATGTGAGTTTAACTTCTCACTCAAACTGTCACTCACTAAAATGACATCTCACCCGTTTATAGGTTAACACTCTAGATATACCTGAACCTCTCACAACAGTTGAATATATTTAATGTGAGAAATGGTTATGCCTTGGGTTTCTAGCATGCGGAATTCTTCTGGTCCAAGAGCGAGCAAGCAGGGATCCTCAGCGCCTCCTTCTATGGCTACATGGTCACACAGATTCCCGCTGGGATTCTGGCTGGCAGATATGGCGGGAAGTACGTCATGCTTATCGGAATGCTGATTGGTTCAATCTCCTCACTGCTTCTACCAATCGGCGCCCGGACATCCATCTACTTGGTGTACGTGCTGCGTGTGATACTGGGCGCTTCACAGGTGACAGAGTGAAAGGTTGTAAATGCTGAAGTTGTAATGAAAGTTACTATACTCAGCAGCAAAAACATCGTCAGTACGAATTCAAAATTAGATAAGTACTGTCATCAAATTATTACAGAAATGGACATAATAAGCTGATCAAAAACATTTTTTGTGTACAATATCTTGACACATCAATGAATAACCAGCAGAATTTCAAGACATTACGTAAATGTTTGCAATCCATTCAGACTCTTAACTTCAGTATGACCACCACGAGCGGCAATAACTGCAGCACAGCTTCTATGCATCGAGTGCACCAATCGATTGATGAAGGCTATTGGCACCTGGAACCACACTCTGAGAAAGGCCTGGAGCAATAAATCGGCTGTGTATGACATTATTCAGCCTCCTCTGAATTTCATCCCAAAGATGTTCAATTGGGTTTAAATCAGGACTAAGGGCTGGCCACTGCATAATGTTGACACCGTTCTGCTGTAGGAAGTCCCGTGTAGCTCTGGCAGTATGAGCCCTGGCGTTATCATGCTGGAAAAATGTTGTTCCGGTGACGTGCGAAATGTGGTATGACGTGGGGTCTGAGAGCTTGGTCGATGTAGCGCACCGCTGTGACGCTACCTCCTCTCCCTAGGCCAAGGTTCTGGAACACCACAGGACCCACTCTCTGGTTCAGGCCTATTCCACTCAATACCATGATGCTTGCACCTCCCCATGAGTCTCTTTCCATAACACATTGGTTTGAGTAACGCTGGCCACGTTGTCGCCATATTCTTGTTCTGCCATCTGCAGTTGATACGCAGTACCGACTCTCATCTTGTGAACAGAACAGTTCTCCATTGCCTGTATCGCCAGTTTTTGGTGTTGTAGGGCAAACTGTATACGTTCACGCCAATGACGAGGGGTGAGGATAGGTCCACGGTAAGGTCTACGGCAATGGAGGTTCCCGCTGTTAAGACGTCGGCGTACTGTATCAGTACTGATTGGTCTTCCGTGTGTTCCCACTGTCTGGCGTGCTGTTTCGGATGCCTGCATGAAGGGATTCTGTACATGCTGTCGCACAACATGGCGGTCTTGTCGTCTAGTGGTCACCCTTTGTTTGCCAGTGCTGGGGCAATCATTTGTGGTGTCGGTGGCCCGAAAACGTTGCTGCAGCCTGTAGATGGTGCGAACGTTGACCTGGAAGTGATTGGCAACGGCTTGTGCAGTGTGGCCAGCTTCAAGTCTTTCTAGGCTGTCGTGAGTCGCGGCATCCTGCTGACGTTGTAATGTAAATGTTTCAACCAGGTTTTGGGGGTGCATTTTATAGGGCGGGTCCTTGTGAACAGCACGTGCAGCATGAGTTGCATGAAAACATGGAGAACACCGTACCATCTCCGAGATCAGGTTGCGTTTTTAGACCATTTCCTGGGTTCCATTCTGAGTTTGGGAAGGAATGTCTTTGCTCAGGTAAAGTTGGAGATGTTGTCAAAAATATACAATCAAAACATTAAATGAGTTTACAGTTATCCGTTTCTGCGAAGGAAAATTCCAAACTGACGTTTCTTTTGCTGCCTAGTATATATTATGGCAACATTTTACTCTTTAAAACAATGTTATCAACATATTTGTATGCCCATCATTGTATTAGCCTGGCCGTGATACGTAGCACTGCACTGACGACTGAGTTGTCCCCCTTTAACGTCTCTTTGACGTTAAAGTCATAAAGATCCTCGCCTACTGTCATTTCTTCATAGCTTGTTTTAAAACAATTTGTCATGTATTGGTGTTAGCGATTTTTTGGATCACTTAAGCAGTAGTTTGTCAGCAGGCTTGTTCACAATCATTACTGATGCAATCCATATTGTTTTCAGGGCGTATATTTCCCTACAATGCACTGTATGTGGGGGATCTGGGCGCCGCCACTAGAGAGGACCAAACTGTTAGCCATCTGCTATTCAGGTTAAACTTCCTGATCTCTGGCAGAATGAGACTTCTGAAAACCTTCATTTGGCAATTATTCCGGACATAAATATATTTTGGACGTCATTTTTCTCCCACACCTGTGGTTTAATTCGTCGGCCTCAGAGCGCGGATCTTCCATCCATATATCAATATCTTCTTATCGTAGAATCTCCCGCTACTTCTGACATCATACTCTGTATGGTAATTATATTGCAGGAACAAAGATTGGGAGCATAGCAGCTTTCTCGTTATCTGGAGTTCTCTGCGAGTACGGCTTTGACAATGGCTGGCCTTCTCAGTTCTATATATCAGGTTGTGTATGATATACGCATTTATCTGTTTGATAGGAATTCTGATAAGAAAAGGTACCACGTTGCATTTAGCGATGTAGCTCTATCAAGATGTTAGCTCTATCGAAAGATGGATGTGTTATCTGGATGTGTTATCTATTGTACGTGTTTATGAATTCATATTGTCAACTGGAAACACAGCGGTTGAACATTAAGTGTCATATAGAGGCAAACAACGATGTGTCGAGTCTCCATGTGTAAAGACTACGGTTATCTCGAAGAATAGGCTCGGTCACCGCGTGTTCCATATATGGTAATTTTCGGCTCAGTCGAACCTCGTGTAACTCGAAGTATTTACGTGGGTTCCTTCTGCTTCGACACAACGGTGTTTGACTGTAAACGATCAAACTGGAACAATGCTGAGTGTAGTATTGAACTCTTGCTGTAGTGATGATTCTGACGATTTATGTATTTGTGTTACCTGTACAGGTGGGGTGGGTGTGTTATGGTGTGGGGTATGGTGTATCACTGTGTATAGCACTCCCTCCCAACACCCCCGCATCTCACCAGGAGAGAGACGCTACATCCTGGATGGTTTGAAGGGGACAACCAAGTTGAGTACCTGGGTTTTGCGCCACTGTGAACTATAATCACCTGCGCATTGAAGATGACAAAATATCCACCTGATTACTGAAAAACATACTTAATATACATATATGCACATGTATAATGTAAGCTTCTTAAATCGTTCATTCGTCACGCCGAGACCTGGGTTCGATTCCCTACATGGGTACAATGTGTGAGGCACATTTCTGGTGTCACCAGCAGTGATATTGCTTTAATATTGCTAAAAGAGGCATAAAACACTACTCACTCACTCACTCACATATACGTCCTCACGAATGACGAATATCTCCGCATGGAGATTCCAGCAAGGCCAACGTTTGTCCTGACATTGCTTGATAATGATCTTTGCTCATCCCCTGGACAAGACCTGGTTACAACCCGCCAAACATGGTTGGGATATCAGTACTGTGGCATAAAATGAAACAGTTAACCGCTGACTTTCAAAAACTAGGTTACATCAACGTTTCAACGTAAACGTTCACTGAAGTCCACCGTATGCACATATTTGATCAAAACAAATTGTCGTATCACTCACTGCTCTGGATTTATCCACCCTGCATGCGCAGTCTCTTCACAGCCGTCAACTGAGGGCACATGTCCTTACACTTACAGGTTTCCACGACGCCATGGGTGCCAATGATGACGTCAGCAGCCACCTTGGCATGTTTGGTCGGGCATGTCGGATCAGAGTGGGTGACTCAAACTCTAAGGACACACGGACCGACCTTCATGAATGAAATCCTCAAATTTGACATAACAGAGGTACTTGCATCAAATAGTACACGTCTAATGTTAGTGTCTCACTCTGATACACATTGGGCGACATGTAACATTACATGTGTAAATTCTTTATTTCTTTATTTAATGATAATGTATGAGTGAGTGAGTGAGTGAGTGAGTTGAGTTTTACGCCGCACTCAGCAATATTCCAGCTTTATGACGGCGGTCTGTAAATAATTGAGTCTGGACCAGGCATTCCAGTGATCAACAGCATGAGCATCGATCTGCGCAATTGGGAACCGATGACATGTGTCAACCATGTCAGCGAGCCTGACCACCGGATCCCGTTAGTCGCCTCTTACGACAAGCATAGTCGCCTTTTGTGGTAAGCATGGGTTGCTGAAGACCTATTCTACCCCGGATCTTCACGGGTCGATAATGTATGAAAAAATATATGTGAGTGCATGTACTGAAAGAATTTGGTTGTTAAATATGCTTCTATCGGACAAAAGAATGTATCTGAAGTATGGATAACGTGGAAATAGGTTGTGTAATACAAATGGGTGTATCTGAAATGGGCACTAAATTTGGGGGCACGAGAACCAAACATGTGTATTATGTATAAACGTATAAATGATTGTATTACCATTTTGTCTAAACTATCGATGTACCTAAAAGTAGGCCTGTGTAAAAATATAGTGCATCTGAAAACTGGATAAACTTACATATGTATTAAATATTGATGAACACGCACGCACGCATGCACACATACATGCACATTTGGTGTATATAGCATGTAGATATAGTCCGGCTATGGGAATACGGTCTTAATATACAAATGGTTTCATAAAGTTTAGTACATTTGTGTGTGTACGTGCGTGCGTGCGTGCGTGCATGCGTGCGCGCGCTCGCAAAGATACATGGTTTTGTTGTGGAATATATCAGGAATACAAATGTGTCTGGCTTGTGGGTATGGAATCAACATATTTGTATATATATGTACAACGCGAACGCTGTCAGATATATTGTTGGTCGTTAAGGTGAACATTATTGTGTTGAGTACAGAACGGACTGCTCTCTGCCGTTCCATATGTGAGCCAGGGAGTTTCCTCTGTGGTGTCTGGTCAGCTGGCCGACTACTTGCGGTCAAGGAAATACCTCAGCACTACGGCCACACGGAGGATCTTCCAAACTATCGGTCAGTGTCACTTATACATTCAAAGCGTGGGAAAGAACTTTATCTTCTCTCATTGTCTTTGATTTCTGTTCTTGTGTGTTGTGTAGCGTATTGCTCCATCGCATACGTTGTCAATACCAAAGTCTCACTACAGATTCAATGCCGGTCACAATGCCGATGTTCAAGGTCTTATTTTCAGTTCATGATTGTTTGGTCCGGTACCCTCATCAAGCCGACACCTAGACTGCAGTCTTGGTGACAGTGACATGTGGATGACGTACATACGGAAATAGCTAAATTATGTTGCGCATCTGTTTTTACTCTTGGTTTACAACATCTAGTGTTAACCTGGTGTGGATATATCCAATGGTATAGATATGGCATATTGTGCTCTGGTGTTGGTTAGCCTAATGGGTAGCCTAATGGTTAAAGCGTTGGCTCGTCACGCCCAAGACCCGGGTTCGAATCCCCACATGGGTACAATGTGTGAAGCCCATTTCTAGTGTCCCCCGCCGTGATGTTGCTGGAATATTGCTAAAAGCGGCGTAAAACCAAACTCAGTCAGTCAGTCAGTTTATATAACGTGCAACGGGACATCAGGACTTCCCAGCTGCCAGACGTCTTTTGGTGATTTTGAAGGGCGAAACCTGTGAGGCAGAATACCCTTACCTAAATGCCTAGTATCATCTTTGTCAAGTGTTTGTAAAACATGTTTGTGACGTATTCATTGATGAATAGTAGAATAAAAAGTACCTTTAGCAGATATTTATGTCTGATTCCTTCCAACAGGATTTATCGGGACAGGTGTGTGTGTTGTCTGTACTGGGTTCGTGGACGCTGACAACCGCTACGTGGCTGTGGCTCTCCTGACATGTGCTATGTGGTTCATTGGTTTTGGAGCTGCCGGCTTTCTGGTGAACATCGTAGACTTTGCGCCTAGGTAATGATATGTATGCATTATAACCGTGTTGGTACCAGAGAATTTCAACCAAACAGCTAAAAATTAGAGAAGCAAAAAAACGAATGGCTGTTTTATTATCGGGTTTACGATACAAACGGTAATCTAAATGCCAACTCACTCACTCACTCAACCACTCAGCCACCCAACCACTTACACACTCACTCACTCGTGTTGTAGGTACAGCGGTGTTTTGTTCGGCGTAGTCAACTCCATCATGGCGGTGATCGCTGGTGTTGGGGGGGCCCATGGTGGCAGGGGCTTTGACTCCAAATGTAAGTCTGTGATTTCTGTTTGATGTTTGGCGATATGCCTGCGTGAAATTGGGTTTCAGCTCAAAAGGAAAAAGTTTGTCTCAAGATACGATACTCCAATGTGACAATTATTATGATTTACCTGGTGTTAAGGGAGCACCTTGAGTATAAAACATATGACGAGTTGTTATACATAGATATTTGGTTGCTATTTTAAACATATAAGAAAAACAAATGATGATCCATGAAGATTAGGATCAAATATAAACAGAACATTCTGTAATCCCTGTCAAAGATAAGAAACAATAGTTCACGGAATTCCAGGTCCCGTTCACCAGATCATTACAGGGGCTGGCCCAATCGTCTTAGGGGTCCATATTTAGGTGCTTTAGATATGGGAAGACTTAGATCGTGTGTTCGCATCCCCTTCGCCCTTGTTATGTGTCTGGGTTTGTCAGGATTCCTGGCGAGGTGTCAGCAAGGCAGTAGCTGCATTACTCCGGCTTCCCTCCCCCTGAAGACACACCATGATATACTGAAATCATGTTCAAAGACGGGCTGAAACCCAATTTACTCACTCACCCATATGAAATGCTGCGTAATGCTATTTAGAGGCTCGGTGTAGAACCCACTTCTGCTTTCTCCCAGAAAACCCAGGAGGAATGGCAGAACGTCTTCTACGTGTGTGGGGGGTTCTGTCTCCTGGGAACTGTCGTGTTCGGTACCCAGGCCCGGGGGGAGGTGCAGCCCTGGGCCGTGGACCAGCTGGAGGTGGTCGTCGGGGAGGGACACGAGCAAGTCCCGACGGTGTCGAGTCGCGTTCTTGAGGTCAACAATGACAACCTTGAAGTGAACACTATACGCATTTCAACACATCTGTAATATCTGAATCACAGGGGTTCGTATTGCAGAAAATAATAGGTCCAACACTCGTTCACTGATAGCCATCGATAACAAATACGTAAAGGGACGTAACGCATACAAAGCTGACAAACACCCCCTCTCGTTTCTGAGTGAATGCTTGGTGGCAAAATACATTTCCTTTCGATTAAATCCAAAATTATCAAAATCGGCATAGTGAACCGTTTTTTTAACCTTTGGCGTATTATTTTCAGCAACACAAGCCCCTGTGATCTGAATAAGAGTTTACTTGATACAGAAGTGACGTGCAATAAGGGCTGGGGAAGCTGGAAGCGTCTGTCTGTTCGTGCGTGTGTCTGTTCGTGCGTGTGTCTGTGTGGGTGCGTGAAGAATCTGTGTTGCCAGTATAAGCAGTAAAAGACTATTTGTGTTTCTGCAACTATAACTATAATTTGTGTGTAGTGCTACAATATGCAATTTGGAACTCTTTGTATGTGTTTATGTTTTGCAGATTCAGATAGTCGAGAACGATTAATTTCTAGCATTCAATTTGGCGTTCCATGTTTAAAAAATGTCACATTATTATCTTTAAGTATTACATTCCCTCTTAAATTTATCTCCTGAACACACAGTTTAGTTAGTGTTTAGATATTGTAACATAACGATTGCAAATCCGAAATCGCATTACCTGACTCGTGGTTAATCTACATCCAATACATTCCTGCCCATACACCTGAATCCTGTTTTCAATCTACAAGGGTATCTTAAATTTAGCGTTTTACAATGACTTAATAAAATGAAAAACATTTGATACAAGCAAAATATCGAGTGAGTGAAGACACATAGGTTGAGTCCTGAGACATGACTGAGTTGTCGATCTTAATAACGGAACTTCATATTCCCTTTCATGTCTAGCAATATTCAAACAGCTCCAGCCTTTGCTGTTTACATTTCACAACGTTTGAGGTACAATCGATGGTGCTCTTTTTATTATAGTGCCATGCCACTCTTGATCAGAAGTTGTTGATACAGGTTAAAACATTCAAGGCCTCAGTAAAACTTTCAAGAAGTTTTATGGTAGACATTTGGAGGAAAAATTACGTCCTGTGCAATTCCCTAATTTGACTTACACCATACGTTCCCGAATTATTTCAGCATATGTTTATGACGGGTGCCACCGGTGGGGCAGGATACGCTCACCTTTTCGCGAACACCTGGTATCATCAATATTTCATAGTGATTCATCATCGTATCATCGTATCGCATGGTGACAATCACTAGATTATCTGGTTCAGACCCGATTTGTTTACAAACAACATCCCACATGGGCACAATGTGTTAAGCCCATTTCTGGTGTCCCCCGCCGTGATATTGCTGGAATATCGCTAAAAGCGGCGTAAAACTAAACTCAGTCAGTCAGTCAGTACAAACAACATCATACAGCTGTAACACTGTTGAAACAAATATATGGATTACACCTTCTTAAGAAAGTCCAGGAAGCGGTTTAGGCGGCTGACTTTGTGTGATGGCCATTAGGTGCCTGACTCTAAGGGTGTCGGTTCGAATCCCGGATGGGACTCAGACCCAAGCAAGTACTAGAATCTGTACTTTCCTAAGGTGTAATCCCAAATATAACATATGTTACATTTGGCCACTTTCTAAATGGCATTGTGTATTCATGCCCATGATATAGTCACAGCTGTACAATCGATTGTACATTGTACAATGCTTTTTGCATTTCTTGTGAATGTGGAAAGGGTTTTGTCACTTCTATATACCCGCAAGTATGTGTCTGCACGTGTTCGTGTGTCCACCATCTGGTCACCTACCATCGGATCAGTGCAGTGGCTCAGGTGACGAAGGTTGTCTAAAGTTGAAAATACCAATGGCATCTTCGCCATCGGCTGCAATGAGGAAATCTTCGCCACCCGATGTCTTGGTGTAGAGTTCTGGCAGGTCGATCTGGGAATGATAATTGGGTGGGGATTGAACGTCTATAGCTCTGGATCATACAGAGCGGACTTGATGCTGTTCAACATGGGAATCTTGCTGATGACTTGAGCATCTGTAGTTGTGGCTTTCAAATCTGCAGTGAAGAAAGAGGTTAGTAAGTAGGAAACACATGAATGCAAATGATCGTGATCTATTGATTTGTATCCTTTTAAATGTGTTTTAAAATATTTAACACACATGTTCCTGACTACATGTAATCATGGATCAGCAAATATATAGTAATTACCTGATAATGTTTCTTGATAAAAGGCTGGAATCGAACGAGGTGTCTGTCGGACGGGTTCGCGAAGGTCAGCAATGATGGTCTCTGCAGAGATCTTGCTCCCATCTGGTTGATGGTTGTGTTGGTTGGAGTAGATGGTCACAATACAATCCTTGGTTTTGATTGTAGCTCGGCAATCTCTCTGGTAGCATATCCAGTGAATAAACGTCGTTTTTTCTGGTTTTCATACTGAACTTGTATCTCATGTGAATCAAATATTGCTCTCCTCGTCCATTTTGAATGAAACGAGTTCTTGTTTGCAATTTTAGCATTCGCCATGGTCAAGTGACATTTACTTCTTTTTGACATCACATATATTCATTAATAATTCCTGTTATCAATGATCTCACCTGCAACAATTTTACGGGCTTTCATATATAAACCTTGAGTATGAATTCTTACAAACAATATACCAATAGGTAAGTGATAGGTCTAATTTGCTTAGTCCAGATGAAGACTTTGTTGTGTTCTCCTTTTAACCTCAAAGTAGGGTTTAACATTTTAAAGATAATATTTCACAGGTAACTTGCTACCATTACACCGTGAGGGGCCAAACTAATCCTAACCCTTAATAGATAGGATTAATTAACATAGGACTGGGTGAGAGGGAATAACCACATAAAACCACTTTTAAAGATTGCGCAATAGCTGAAACATCTCAATCTACGCGCCGTAGGAAAAGTGCAAATAGGAATGGCGCAACATGAAGTATAAATGGTCATCGGAAAACCATATCAACTCTTTGGAAGCTTTAAATACAGCTGTGCAATATTCATGACTTGCCATGGGCTGGTTATCCTGTGAGACGTCACAACAAGATAACTATATTCGATTGGTGCATCTACGGAATCGATTCCAACAGTTCGAACAATGCCTAGGTTGAGACCTGTTAGTGGCCAGAACCGGTTGAAGGAGCGCAACATCCGGGCCCTGTACATTTGACATATGTTAACATATGAATAACTTCGCAAAAACATTTTGCTATCTAATTATAGAAATATGCCATTTCTGCCTCTTACATACCAAGTGAATTTTCTGCTACAATATTTTGAATTCGATCACTCACTACATTTTTGTTCCTATTTGATGAGGTCTGTGGAGTTAGTGAGTGTATACGGATGTCTGGACTGTTGGTGTATAATACCGAAATACATAGGTCAGTCTATACAGAAGGGAGTTTCTCCCTAACACAGGCACAGCAGCATCAGGCATGTAGGGGCGTCGCCGGAGCATCAGGCATGTCGGAGCATCAGGCATGTAGGGGCGTCACCGGAGCATCAGGCATGTAGGGGCGTCACCGGAGCATCAGGCATGTAGGGGCGTCGCCGGAGCATCAGGCATGTAGGGGCGTCACCGGAACATCAGGCATGTAGGGGCGTCGCCGGAGCATCAGGCATGTAGGGGCGTCGCCGGAACATCAGGCATGTAGGGGCGTCACCGGAACATCAGGCATGTAGGGGCGTCGCCGGAGCATCAGGCATGTAGGGGCGTCGTAGCAGCATCAGGCATGTAGGGGCGTCGCCAGGGCATCAGGCATGTAGGGCGTCACAGGAGCATCAGGCATGTAGGGGCGTCACCGGAGCATCAGGCATGTAGGGGCGTCACCGGGCATCAGGCATGTAGGGGCGTCACCGGAGCATCAGGCATGTCAGGGGCGTCGCATGTAGGGGCAGCGGAGCATGTAGGGGCAGGCATGTAGGGCGTCACCGGGCATCAGGCATGTAGGGGCGTCACAGCAGCATCAGGCATGTAGGGGCGTCGGGAGCATCAGCCATAGGGGCGTCACCGGAGCATCAGGCATGTAGGGGCGTCAATGGGGCGTCACCGGGCATCAGGCATGTAGGGGCGTCAGCATCAGGCATGTAGGGGCGTCAGGCAGCATCAGGCATGTAGGGGCGTCACCGGAGCATCAGGCATGTAGGGGCGTCACCGGCATCAGGCATCAGGCATGTAGGGGCGTCACCGGAGCATCAGGCATGTAGGGGCGTCACAGCGGAGCATCAGGCATGTAGGGGCGTCACAGCAGCATCAGGCATGTAGGGGCGTCACCGGAGCATCAGGCATGTAGGGGCGTCACCGGGCATCAGGCATGTAGGGGCGTCACAGCAGCATCAGGCATGTAGGGGCGTAGCATCAGGGCGTAGGGGCGTCACCGGAGCATCAGGCATGTAGGGGCGTCACCGGAGCATCAGGCATGTAGGGGCGTCGCAGCAGCATCAGGCATGTAGGGGCGTCACCGGCAGCATCAGGCATGTAGGGGCGTCGCCGGAGCATCAGGCATGTAGGGGCGTCACCGCAGGCATCAGGCATGTAGGGGCGTCACCGGAGCATCAGGCATGTAGGGGCGTCACCGAGCATCAGGCATGTAGGGGCGTCACCGGAGCATCAGGCATGTAGGGGCGTCACCGGAGCATCAGGCATGTAGGGGCGTCACAGCAGCATCAGGCATGTAGGGGCGTCACCGGCGGCATCAGGCATGTAGGGGCGTCAGCATCAGGCATGTAGGGGCGGAGCATCAGGCATGTAGGGGCGTCACCGGAGCATCAGGCATGTAGGGGCGTCACCGGAGCATCAGGCATGTAGGGGCGTCACCGGAGCATCAGGCATGTAGGGGCGTCGGGCATCAGGCATGTAGGGGCGTCACGGGCATCAGGCATGTAGGGGCGTCACCGCATCAGGCAGCATCAGGCATGTAGGGGCGTCGCCGGAGCATCAGGCATGTAGGGGCGTCACCGGAGCATCAGGCATGTAGGGGCGTCACCGGCATCAGGCATGTAGGGCGTCACCGGAGCATCAGGCATGTAGGGGCGTCACCGGGGGCATCAGGCATGTAGGGGCGTCACAGCAGCATCAGGCATGTAGGGGCGTCACCGGGCATCAGGCATGTAGGGGCGTCCACAGCAGCATCAGGCATGTAGGGGCGTCACCGGAGCATCAGGCATGTAGGGGCGTCACAGCGGCATCAGGCATGTAGGGGCGTCACCGGAGCATCAGGCATGTAGGGGCGTCACCGGAGCATCAGGCATGTAGGGGCGTCACAGCAGCATCAGGCATGTAGGGGCGTCACAGGAGCATCAGGCATGTAGGGGCGTCACAGCAGCATCAGGCATGTAGGGGCGTCACAGCAGCATCAGGCATGTAGGGGCGTCACAGCAGCATCAGGCATGTAGGGGCGTCACAGGAGCATCAGGCATGTAGGGGCGTCACAGCAGCATCAGGCATGTAGGGGCGTCACCGGAGCATCAGGCATGTAGGGGCGT